GCCAGAATGGAGCGAGCGCGCGGTAAAATCAATAAAATTGCATTAGCAAGCAGCTTGCCGAAATGGTTCAAGTCAAAAGCTAAAAATGCGCAAACACACACACACACACACATACAGCCACACTAATACACACACACACACACACACATCTGTCCGACATTTTAAAGTGTTAGCCACAAAATGTTGTGAAAATTCGCTGAATTTGCATTTCGCATTTCGCATTTTAGTAGTTTTTGAGGTCATTTGAATGAAATTAATTAGGCTCATGTAACGCCAGCGAAAAAGTTGAAAAGCCAAACAAAATGGCCACCCTCCAATATTCAGCCAACCGCTCCCAGTCCAGCCACAAAACTGTGCAGCATTTTGTGAGCCTGACTGCGGCTGGAGTGTGTGACATTTGGCTTAATAATTTTCGGTTGCAAAATGTCAGCGAAAGTCAAGGCAAAGTTGACTTTGCACGTGTGTGTATGTGTGTGTGTGTGTAGGTTTGACTCTGACTTTTAATGCGCTTTCCATTTGCTATTAAAATTGTACGCATATTTAAGCAAACACCCAGCCCTCTCTCTCTCTCTTGGGCACCCATGATGTCCAGACGACCATTTGGGCATGGCCTCATTCAACTTCTGTCAATTGTGCACTCAAATTGCTTGTTAAATAGTTAGCCAAAAGTCAAAGCCTACTTTGGGTTGTCGTCGCAATTCGATATTTGAAATTGCAAGGTCTCTAGCTCTTATAGACAGACAAGGCTAGGTCGGTTCAGCTCGTTTGTCCTGATCACGACTAGAAGATTCTGTTGAAAATCCCTATGGATTTCCGAAAAATCGTTAAGAATTTTCGTTTTACTGTTATCGATTAAATGTTATCGAAAATACGTGGTAAAATTATACTAGACTAGACACGGCAAAGTTAGACTCCATTATTTGGATTCATGTCTATTTTATACAATTTTGGCTCTTCTTAAATTTTAGACACCAGCTACACCCTCAATACTTCAAATATTCACAAAGTATTTCACATATTCGAGAATCACAATTATATTCAAGGAAGCGAAGATTTTTGTTGTTTAAATATCAGTTCTTCAAAGTTTTTGAGGCATCTCGTAGTTGAAGAGTCTCGGGTAGTGTTTTCTTACTTGTTTATATCTGCATTGCTTTAAATATCCTGACATTCAACTGATGTAAATGATATTTCTATTTGAACAGTTTTCCTTATGAATATTGGTATTTCTCAATAATATCCGAGAAGGATAACTGTTGGTTGTTGTAAGTCCTTAGCCTTTCAATATCGCAATAAGAGTTCATTTAATCATGTAGCTGATTATACTGTGTAGCAATTCAATCAAATCATAGTCCTTCTCAGTTGGTAACTCCCCCTCTGCATTTCCATTTATTCCAAAAAGAGCGGATACTCAGCGTATTCGTCCACATTTAACTTCACTTTAGGCTTCAACTATGCTAAATGAACTGAGGTTGTGCACTAAGTAATTAGCTTGTTGACAAATGCAGCCAGACCTTATCTAAAGTGAAAACGACGTTTACGAGCGTTTTATGTAGTCACGATTTAGATAAAGTAATGCATACTGTAAACGATTTCATGATCCAAAGGTAATGTCAACCATTGGACTACAGCTTTACTAAATATTTACTTTTCAAATAAAACGAATGTGTATAGTATCATGTGAATAGAAGAGATTAATATATATTTACAAAAAAGAATGTAAAAATTAATGAAAAAGGTGGAGACGATGATCAACCTATGTTTCTTCTGGTTGTTGTTGGTTTTGTTGTTGTCGTTGTTGTTGTTGTCGTTGTTGTTGTTGGTTTGGGGCAGGGTTTGCTGTTTTCTTCCAAAGCCTTTTGCTTGCCTGAGTTTTTCTTCGTATATGATCTTTCGAGTATGAACTTTTGTTTCAAATAAAACCTCATGCATTTATGATTTGGTGGCAGGGATTCGATTTCAAATTCGATATCAATCACACGGTCTTGAATGCGTTCCTCCAGATCCAATCGACGTCTGTTATACTTTTGAAACTTTTTAAGAGCGAGTAACTTTTCTGAATTTGACGCTTCAATTTCCTTTGCGATGATTAAATCGCTCAAATGCTCGGAATATTCACTGTTGTTTTGGTAGTAGCCGAGTGCAGAGTTAATTTCTGCATCAATTTTTACAAATATGAATTTGTGATTGTTATTATTGTTGACTTCAATGCTGATGCTGTTGATGAAATTATTTTTAAATGGGCAACTCTCTCTATTTTTACGTACAACGTTTTGCTTAACTGAGTTTTTCTTTGTATATGCTCTTTCGAGTGCCAACTTTTGTTGCAAGTAAAACTTCTTGCACTTATGTCCATGAGGAAGTGATAACATTTCAAAATTTATATGACTCACACGGCTTTCCATCTGTTCCTCCAGATCCAATCGTCGGTTGTTATATTTTTGAAATTTCTCAATTTCGGATTCCTTCGCTGTAAGTGGCTTTTCCGATTGCCTAATTACAATTAACTCAGTGAAATAATACGAATACTCAAAGTTATTTTCGTAGTGCCCGAATTGATTCTTAATGAGCGCATCCATTTTCGCGTGGACATGATTCTTTTCTTTTGATTGCTGCAAATTGGGATTATATTATGAGTTCGCACTAATTGATATTCATTTGCTTACACACCAAATTAGATTGAGCTGTTAATTTTTGGGACTGTGCAGCCAGTATTCCATGAAGTAAAATTAGAATAATGCAATTCCAGTTCATATTAGTTTTACTCGGAGACATTCTCTATGTAAACTGAGCATCGGGCACTGAGGAATATTCTTGTATCGATTTATTTAACTGTATTTGTTACGCTATTTTGTATTTTAATAAGCTATAGCTAATTTAACATGGGGAACAAATTAATAAAAGGTGCTCTCTTGTCGAGAAAAATAATATTTGTTCCACATCATTCCAGCTTAAGATAATCAAAAAGAACGTTTACTCTAAATTACTACCTTCAGCTGATTTCCAGAGAGTGATTTGCGTATGTGCAAAACATAACTAAAAAGTGTATGAAATTCTTATGGATCTAAGTTAAAGAGTTTGAAATGATCATCACCAATGACAATTTATGTGTCTACAATAGATCGAATATACAATTTTTATTTTAATCTAGCTCTAAAGTATTAGCCTCTATACGGCGTTGTTGTATACAATGGTAAATCCTCTATATATACTATTTTATATGTGACTGTGTCTTAGGGTCCAGCAGAGGATAGAGTTTTAACTAAATTAAAACGATTTTGGTTTAATCTTTTGCTGTTAACCCGAGCATATCATTCATATTTGCCTCATTATTAAAAAAAATCGGTTGCAGTTACACATTTTACTTTTAATTGCAACGCTTTTTCTCAGCCAAGGGCAATAAGAAAACGTCCAGCAGGCAATAGTCGCAAGAGTCGATCTGAACGTTGCTGCAGTTGTTGCTGCTGCCATTACCCTTGCTGCCCTGGTTGCCAATAGGGCTGCTGGTGCTGCCGTTGCCCTAGCTGCCGCTGGTGCTGCCGCTGCTGATGCTGCCACTGTTGTTACCGCTGTTGCCGTTGCCGTTCTTTTTGTTGTTATTGCTACTGCCGTTGCTATTGTTGTTATTGTTGCCATGGTGGTTGCCATGGCTGTGATTGTTGCTATGCGTGTTATGGTTGTATGTTATGGTTGTTGTTGTGGTTGACGTTTTGGTTGCTGTTGTGGTTGTTGTTGTTGTTAGTGTTATGGTTGTTGCCGTTGTTGCCGTTGCTGTTGCCATTGTGGTTGTTGCCATTGCTGTTGCCATTGTGGGTGTTATTGTGGTTGTGGTTGTGGTTGTGGTTGTGGTTGTTGCCGTTGTTGTTGCCACTGTGGTTATTGCCGTTGCTGTTGCCATTTTGGTTGTTGCCGTTATTATTGTGGTTGTTGTTATTGTTGCCTTGACCGTTGGAATTCCGTTTAAACGGGCAAGGCTTGCTTGCTTGGTCTAACACCTTTTGCTTAGCTGAGTTTTTCTTTGTATATGATCTTTGGATTGTTATCTTCTGTTTCTGATAAAACCTCACGCATTTCTTGTGTGATTGAACTGCTCCAAGTTCAAAGTCAATGTCACTCACGCGATCTTCCATCTGTCCCTCCAGATCCAATCGTCGATTGTTATATTTTTGAAATATATCAAGGGCGAGTTCTTTCGCGGGTGCTGGCTTACTCGAATTCCTTATTATAATTAAGTCACCAAAGAAATCTGAATACTCAAAGTTGTTTTTGTAGTGCCCGAAATGAGTATTAATGAGCGTATCCATTTTACTAAGGATATATTCCTCATCCTTTGTAATCTGCAAAATGAGATTATATTATGAGTTTGCACTAATTTCACATTTATTTCTTTACACACTAAATTAGCTCCATGTTTAGGTATAGCCAGTATTCCATGTAGAAAAATAAAAATAATCCAGTTGCAGCTCATACTAGTTTTACTTGCAGACATTCTCTAAGTATACTAACCTGAGGGGTATTTTTATATGTATGAATTTAAGTGCAATGTTACACTATTTCCTAATTGAATCAGCTGAAGCTAATTTTAATTGAGGAACAAATCAATGTTAGGCTCACAAATTCCCTTAGATAAATATGTATATATTGATAGAAACATTTTTGTTTTCTCTCCCGAATAGGAGATACCCTAAAGCCCGAATAACCTAGAATATTAAATATGGGATATGAGGTGCTTGTTATAGTAGAAATGACATTTACAATAATTTAGAGCGTTGCAATATTTTGTTCCCATTTTGTGCTTGAATACATCATATACTTTTGATATGGCTCAACCTCTTAAAATGAATGGTTGAAAGGAGAAATATTAATATACATATAATTGACGTGTTCGAAAATATATTTTGAATAAAATAAAAGTTGCGTTAACAGATTGTAAGCTTCAAATCATGTCATCCGAATCAGTAATCATAGTCGTCATCGTAGTAGGAGCCGTAGTAGAAGTCGCTCTCGTCAACACCTGCAACAGAGGCAGGGCAGGGTTCGCTATTTTCAAGCAAGCTTCTCTCCTTCTGAGCGTTAGTATCGGTCAATGCTGCTTCGATTTTGATTTTTTGACTGTAGTAGAATCTTATGCACTCAACACTTGTTGCAGATGTGTGAACTTCTTTCTCCAGCTGCTTGGCACGGCATTCAATGTCACGCTCAAGCTCCAATCGTCGGTTGTTGTATTTTTGAAAATTCTTGTAGAATTTTTCCTTTTTTTCGAGATCTTGTAGACTTTTAATTATTTCTAATTGCTCGACAAACTCCTCATATTCTTTATTATTTTGGAAGTGGCCGAGTGGATTTTGTATAGCCTGTTCAATTTTTGCATTCACTTCTGCCTCAGTCTGAAAAATATATGATATTGTAAGCTCCTACAAATTTGACATGAATTATTTTACAAACTGTTTTCTCTCCGTTCGGATAAGCGTATATTTCAGCAAATATGCCAAGTGCTAACACAGTTAAGATCAGCTTTCTGTTCATTTTTTGTATACGTTTAGTCAACAGTTGAGTGAACTAAAGACTGTGTGCAGAGGTGTAGGCTTATATAGGTTTGTTATGGGCCGCTGATGCTCGTGTTTAGTTATTATTCGCTTTAATTAGTTAGCTCTCATTTTAAACTTCTAGAAAAGAAATTAACAGCTATCGGTCGTGTCTGCATGTATGCTGATATAGATTGTTATAGAACAGATATAGTCACCAATGCCAGACTAAGAGATACCATATAGCTCGCTTTAGAGATAAATGTGTTAATATATTACTAGACTTCATGTACTCCATAGACACAATGCACACATACACATATACTTGCTGCGGACTTCATTTTCTTGGGATATACCTTGATAGATTACTCATTGAATAACATCTACATTCTTATTACTATTTAAAATGCGTAATTATGATTACCCAATGTCTAATCTTTGGTGCTCCTTTTAGTGTATAAATAAAGTATTCATTACAGAAATCATTCAGCTTCTGTTAAGATGATCGATTGTTAACCAGAGCAATCAAGAGGAAGCTCGTTATGTATATAGCAGTAATTCATAGTGATTTTTTGTAGACTTCAAGTATTTAGCTGTTGTAGTTTACAAGATCATTGTAGGAACGTGTAAGCAATCAGAATTGAGAATATACGTACATATATACATTTGCGTGCATTAAATGTGCTGGGTATTTTAATTTTCACGAATTCAATCTCACGTTTAAGGCGTGCAATGACAATATAAGTCAAGACAGACAATATCCAATTTGCAATTTGCTTGATAGCCCAGTCAGTTTGGGCCTGATAAAGCACTTGGATATTGCAAATGAAGCCATAAAATATTTATCAAAAACTAAAGCATAAAATAGTAAATCAAGAATAGAAAGAAAAAAGAAGAAATAGAAACTTTCTACTCGAGCCAAAAAGCAGCAAACATTTTCTTATGTTTATGTTTGTTTCTGGCGTACAACGACGGCAAGCCGAAGCACAGGAACAACAAGCCACACTCGGCTGGTTGTTGTTCTCTCTGGGTGTTTGTGTAGGCGCTGAAAATTGAAATACAAACAAGCCCACATAACATAACAGCCTAAGCGACGACAGTTTTGGAAACTCTCTGGAAACAAATGGCATCGCAGCACTCGAAGTATTAACAACCTAACGTGCAAACCTGTTAAGACAGCGGCGCAGAACTACGCTAGTTAATTTACACGCAGCTTAAATATTTGTACGCCTCGAAGAGCAGCAGTTGAAAGGAATTACAAAAATATATATATATTTATATAATTTACCATTCAAACGTCGAAGTTGCAATACACTTGCGGAGCCCGCAGCAGAAAAATTTGAGCCTAGCAAATAAAATGTAACGAACTCATTAAGTGAGAAAGTTTTAGTTTGGTTAAACTGATTCTTTCAACTATTACACTTCTGGAGGTTAACAAAGTAATTTTATTGTTTGGAAAACAATTTCTCTCAATTGATATATTTTTAACTGAACATATTCAAAATTTCAGTTAAGCATCTTTAATTACCAAATTGCCACGCTCTAATAAGTGAACCATAGGCATTATAGTTACTCTACCACGGAGACCCTAACTTCAAGGTATAATTTTCTGAAAAATTATTAAATTAAATATTATAAATGTAAGTTATTTATTTATTCTTGAACCGCAAATAATTTTGAATCACAGTTAGTCTGGATTTAGTCTGAATTTGACCAAAAAAGGATTAGAATTGTAAAAGAAATAGATTTAGCAAGACTCCAACGACGCTCATATCGTATATAACGTGTATATAATTTTTATATAAATATATATAGTAAAAATATATAGTATGGTATATAATTATTAATAATAAGTACATGTATACTATTTAGAATAACTTTAACATATGTTTACTCTATATTATTACTATATATACATTTTATATATGTATTCATATATTTTTTCAAATTTATATTTTTTTTAATATCTAGCTTGAATATCAGGCGATAAAGTACACAAATAAACTACATAATAAAATATTTTATATTTGTTTGCTTAATATCTGAGCAAAAAATAAAATATTTAACTGAACATAAATCAAATACTTTTACATTGCGCCCATCCAATTACATATATAGGCAAATGCATTTTGTCAGGCTTAGCAAGGAAGTTGATGTGCCCGACGTTGGGTTATAAAAATCAATTCCATTGTAGCCTGCCTGCCAGCGGCTACGCAACTATTTTGCATGCAAAGTCACGTTTTATTGCAGCTACGCGTAGTTCCCTTTTGCTGCTCGTTGTTGTTGCTGTTGGTGCTGGTGGTAGTGCTGTTGGTAATGGTAGTGGTGGTGGCGGTGCTGCTGCTGCTGGTTAACTTTTGAGCATACCTGAGGCAGTATTGGACGCTTGGGGTCCTGCACATTGTTGGTTGGGGCTCGGGTTCGGGTTTGGCTTTGGCTTTGGGGTTGGGTTTGGGCAATTGCATGCCAAACTTAAGGGCCATAAAAATTATTACGAGCACATAACATGCGCTCGTTGATAAAAGATGAAGCAAATATCTCGTGTCAAATAGAATTTATGCACGTTTCGGCCGACGCCCATTATGGAAATTCAATTGAATGCAAATTTAAATTGCCGGGCACTCAAGAGCTCCCACACACACACACACACACACATAGAGAGAGGAAGAGAGCTGCGTCACAAAGCAAGTGCTATGCATATCAAGTGCAGCCTAACAATATGCAGCACTCAATGCATATTGAGCAGAGTTGATTTTATGATTACCTGCAACTGATTAACGTGCTCGGCATGTGCACAGCATTTGTGACAGTTTGGTTTTTTTTTGTGCTCGGGCAACTGGTTGGACTGGCAGCACAAATTACTTAATTAAAGCAACAACAACAGCAGCAGCAACACAGTTGCCAATGCATTGGCCCTGCTGTGCTGTCAAGCGCCGACTTGGGGACAGACATGAGCACACATTGTAACATATTAAGCAAAAAACATGTGAGACAACAACAACTAGGACTACAACTCATGCCAAAACTCAAGTGTGGAGCGAAGCTGAGCAAGCCAACAACAAGCTCAATGCGCTGCCCTTCAAGTCCACTCGCCATGGGTCGTCTCCTGTTGCTGTTCCAAGCACTTGACTGGCTTTTGTTATTGCTGATGTTGCTGTTGCTGTTGCTGTTACTGTTGCTGTTATTGTTACAGTTGCTGTTATTGTTGGTGTACGCCTTTTGGACATGTTGCTCTTAGACAGCGGCATATTAGTGTGCTGCAGGTTCGCTCTGAGCACATCACTTCAAGTTTGTTAAAGTTCACTCGTTCTGATAAAACCTTATTGCATGTCATAGCTGACATTTAGTTAATAAAAAAATCTTGTAGCTTATATATAAGTATATAAGTTTAAAATGATGTTTAATCAAAAGGGCGATCACACAATATATTAATTTTTGTGTGTGTGTGTGTGTGTTTTTTTTTTAAATTAGCTTTAATAAATTTATTTCATAAGTAATGGCAATAAGCTTTGAAAGTGTTTTGGTTTTATTTTTTAAGCATTATTAAATATTAAAAAAATATTTTAAAAATAAATAACTTAATTTTGTATTAGTTTAAGCTTCACATTAACATTTTCTTTCCATCCCCAATAGTCTAGTTTTTATAGACTAACATATAATATAAAATAATAAAAATATATATAAAATATAGAATAAATATAATATTCTTGTAATTCAGTAGTAAAAATTAATTGAATATTTTGATAATCCAATCATTTTTATACATTAATGTAAACTATGATTTAATATAAAATATATTTAATATAATATAAATAAAAGTATTATATTTAAATAGTAGTCTACTTTATTTATTTATTTTTTATTTAATTTATATAATTTAATTTGCTAATTCATTGCATATATGTATTATATTTAAATTATAGTATGCTTTTCCATTTCGCAGAATATTCTATTTGGAGCACTTACCTTATACGAGCCCAGATTTTTAACAGAACAGGCCAATTTGACATTACGTCCCGCCGGCACTGTTATATTGTCAATGACGTCTGTGAATTCGGGATCCTCTTGAACGACTGCAATGAAATGAAACGGAATGCAGGTTGTTTAGACATTCGTAATTAAGACAGATACTCAAATTACGCTTCCCATTGCCAATGCTATATGCTCTGTGTGCTTTTACAATTCCACATAGGCACGCCCATAAATAGCTGTTGCTCGAGGCATGAGCTGTCAGGATTTATGGCAGCACTTAAAAGTTAATAGCTATACAGATTGAAGCCAGAGCGATTAGCCCATTGGCTTCTGCGAAAAAGTTTTGACACTAACAAAGGCAAAATTATATATACACTATGAATTAAGTGTTTAGCATTAGTGGCTCGTAAAAGTTTGTAGTCTGAGATTATGACAACACACAAGGCTAACAGAACAATAAATCATAATTAAATTTCATGCCGCATGGCCTTTGAGCTCCGATGCCCATAAAACATTCCACCAATGTCCGCCGGATTGGCCCCTGAATCGCACAATCCCAGTTCAAGCGCTGGACGCTGCTGCAGTTTAGCCTAGTGTGAAATTGCATTTCGTTGCATTGTTTGTGCCACTGACTGCCAATACTTGTTGTTATTATTACTATTGCAATTGTTAACGATACTTGTTATGGGCTCTGCCTGTGCCCCATTGGCCCCATTGGCAAAATCCCCAACGAGTCAAACATGCCACATACATCCACACCCACCTACGCCCAAAAGGAATTGGCGCTGCCCTGCTGTGCACTGTTTGCAGCATTAAAGGTGATAAATGTTTTGCAAACGTTTGGCAGTTTGGCAGCTTCGTGTAAACTGGGTTTGCTTAAGGCTAAATCAATGGTTTTATTCATGAACCTACTCTGTGTGTATAGAGGTACTATTTGTGCAAACAGCTCGTGATGCATGACTTTCCTTATTTTTTTTTTTTACCGAACTCAACTGCAGTTCTTTTATATGATAAATATTTAAAAACTGTGTAGAATG